ATGTTTTTGTAACATTGGTTGGTTTACCCCCTTGATGGAAACTGAACATTGTCATCGGCTTGATAGGGTTATGTTATCTGTTTTGCTCTGAATATTCATGTAATCCTTATCAACGTCCAATTTGTTCTCGTCGCAATATGGCTGACATATTGACTCTAAGTAAGTATTTCACTGATGAAATAATGACTGCACAATTTTTCTTTTGACAATATCTCAAGTTGCATGTTCGTGTTGATCCGCCTCGTGAGCGATATACGTCAGTTAACAGGTTCTAAATTCGAGTATCAAGGAAGGAATTAAAGGAACAAATAATGAATGACGCAGAAACAATAGCATGTCACTAATTTTATATCAGATTTGACAACCAAAGTAGTAAAGGACACAGCATGACACAATATTACGATTTATACAATTGTTAAGGAACCTCTTACTGCTAGACGAGTGTTATTTCATCGTGAAACAAATATTTCCCTGAGGTTCATCGCCAAATGTATATTTCAGCCCGAAATCACTCAACAAAGGTCATCAGACAAGTAAAAAGTCAACATCTCAATTCTAATGCTGAAGCCAACAAGTCAGGTCCAAAGTCATTGTTTAAACATTCGTTCAGTATATTGGGTAAACACTCGGAATCGCCACTTCCGAAATCTGATGACAATGAAGCAGCAGCACAGACATTTTCGGATTATTTTTACATAATAATCCAATACAATCATGATAATGACAAGGTTTCGTCTTCTGTGGTTTCAGATGAAGTTGATGTCCCTCAAAAAATGTTGGATGACACTCCTCCTGAAAGGTCACCTTTCCCGCTATAACCTCTACGTGGTGTTCCAATCAGTCTACAGAGCAACCTGCGGAAGATCCTAAATGACCCGCGCTGTGGTTTTGACACAGGACAAGTAGCCATGCTCACATTACTAGACCTAAACAGTGCCTTCGACACGATCACCAGAGGCTCCTCAAAAGACTTGACATAGAACTTGGAATCAGGGATTCAGCTTTATCCTGGCTGGCATCTTATCTACATGACAGGACCCAGGTTTGAGGTGCGTCCAGTTCCTCAGGGATCCGTTCTTGGTCCGATCCCGTTCACCCTCTACACTGTCCATCTTGGCTCTGTTGTAGCAGATCACAACCTTGACCACTTTTAGGCAGGTGACACGCGGCTGTGGAGATATTTAAACGAAATTCAGAGTCAGCGGGAGCGTCTCTCCATCTAACATCAGAATACTTCCAGAAGATACCAAATGCCTTGAAAATAAATGAAGAGAAAACAGAATACATTCTATTGGGACAGACTGGAAAACGCAAGTAATGTGATATTTCGAGGGTGTCTGTCTGTGGAGCAACCATTCCATTTTCTTCCACTGCCAAGGAACTGGGTGTTGTCATCGATTAAGATATCAGTGTAACAGAACACGCTAAGTATGTTGCTAAAACTTGCTACTTCAATCTGAGTGAGTGAGTGAGTTAATATTTAACGTCACATCGGCAATATTTCAGCCATATCGTGACGTGAACATTTTACCTCAATCTGCGCAATATCAGCAAGGCCTGACTATTCCTTCCCAAAGATATCTCCAAAACGTTCTGCCTCAGTCTAGTCACATCTCTTATGGATTATTGTCTTTTGACCGGATCTCCATCCTGTGTCACTGATCAACTCCAACGCATACAGAACTTAAATGCTCGCATTACCGCCCAGAAAACAACACATCAACACCAACCCGTGACACACAGAATCTCCTCATACCAGTGCATGACCCAACATTGCTCCAGTCTACCTGTCAGATCTACTTTATGCTTTATCTATCAGCAAAAACAATGTCTGCTCATTTCTAACAGTGATACTGTAAAGAAGTGAGTTTTGATTAAATCAAGTGTATCATTTTTTTATTTCCCCAACGTACATGTTACATATCTAATTGTCAATAACATTATCAGTGCCAACGGTCGACAAAATTATGTTGTTTTAATAAGATGTCGTAAGGGACATTCACATTCAGATTTTACCTATTTTACTCCTTTATGTGTATTCCTTGTCGGTGCCAGTGTACCACGAAACTACATTGACACGTGAAATAATATTTTGCAGTACCGACACTCATCTGTGAACAGAACAGTACTCCATTGCCTGTATCGCCAGTTTTGGTGTTGTAGGGCAAACTGTAGACGTTCACGCCGATGACGAGGGGTGAGGATAGGTCCACGATAAGGTCTACGGCAATGGAGGTTCCCTCTGTTAAGACGTCGGCGTACTGTATCAGTACTGATTCATCTTCCGTGTGTTCCCACTGTCTGGCGCGCTGTTCCGGATGCCTGCATGAAGGGATTCTGTACATGTTGCGCACAACATGGCGGTGTTATCGTCTTGGTCTGCCAGTGCGGAGGCGATCATTTGTGGTGTTGGTGGCCCGGAAACGTTGCTGAAGCCGGTCGATGGTCCAAAGGTTGACCTGGAAGTGATTGGCAACGCCTTGTGCAGTGTGGCCAGCTTCAAGTCTTCCTAGCGCCAGGTTCCTCTGAGCTGTCGTGAGTCGCGGCATTCTGCTGACGTTGTAATGTAAATGTTTCAACCAGGTTTAGGGGTGCATTTTATATGGCTGGTCCTTGAGAACAGCACGTGCAGCATGAGTTGCATGAAAAACATGGAGAACACCGTACCATCACCGAGATCAGGTTGCGTTTTTTAGATCATTTCCTGGGTTCTATTCTGAGTTTGGGAAGGAATGTCTTTGCTCAGGTAAAGTTGGAGATGTTGTCAAAAATATACAAGCAAAACATTAAATGAGTTTACAGTTATCCGTTTCTGCGAAGGAAAATTCCAAACTGACGTTTCTTTTGCTGCTTAGTATATTTCAAATTGTTTTGAGATCTTCCATTAAAGAATTGTTCTTTATGTGCATATGTTGAAATTCATAGTTACTGTTCTCGCCGCGAATAGCTGGGAATTGCTGATTCATTCATATTTTTATTATGTTCATTGCTTAGTTTGTATTTCAAAGCAATTCATCATTGACAGGTGTTACCTCACTTGGCTGTGAAAGTGTTACCCTCAAGCTCATTACATTTGTAATGGGAGGTCATCCTGAAGCTCATGCTGCAACATAGGAGAAGGACAAGGCTTCTCCACTTCCTTCGCAAACAAATGGGTAGAAAGCTTCGACATCTGCCATTTTGGTATCAATAGTAACAATATCACAATCATCTCTTGCAATACAAAATCACATCTCGGAAATGACTTGTTGCATTAGTGATCACGATTGTCGAAGTATGGACAAAAATCGGGTTTTCTCCAACTAAAATGACACGATGGTTGGATTGATGGATACGTGTACATCAGTCATAAATAATAGGGTTTCTATGAATAGCAAAACATGTAGTATACTAAAACATCGCATTCACCGATAGGCTTGGCTTCATAGTCAATGGTGTTATGAGTATAAATATATTACTGTAGCCAGCCCTGCCACACATTTTCGGGATCACATATCAATGCCACAGATCCATCACAAAGGTGGAATATTCCTTAATGCCGCGATAACCGACAAACATTATAACAATATGATAACTACTGCTATCTATTTTTAGGAGCCAGATTGATGGCATAAAGCTGCAAATATCCACTTAGTCATGTTTTAAACATACACCATCTGTCACAATCTCAAATACGTTTCGATATAAAGCTATTATTCATCTCCGTTTATTGACCACACAACATATGCCAACAGGCAAGTGGACAAAAGCTGTAATTCGACTCGTCGTCTCTCTCTCTGCATGACCACTAAAAACAGGCATGACCCAATGTGAGTAATGAGCTTCTAATATTCCGTAGCCATCAGACCCTTACTATGTTGGTTAGTCTGAATAAACAAAGGAGACGAAGTTCCTTCCAATAAAGACATTTCTGCCTGTAGCTCAACTCATGCAGGATTCCAACATTGTGATTCCCTGTAAAATAGTGATGTTTACCAGGTGTTTCTCAAAATTTGATCGTATCCTGCCCCACCCATGGCTTTCATGACAAACACTTTGAAATGTCAAATGTTCACCTAAAAATACATGGGGATATATGCTCTGCAAAAAAAGACAAGAAACGCAAAAGTGATTTTTAAATAAATACTTCACATAAATTGTCAGCAAATCATAATTAATTGTATACATTTACCACCAATCAGTCGCTCTGACCGAGGATCATCATGAAACAATCGAATGTCAAGGTGAAGGTCATAAGTTCTCAGTATCTGTATGGCCACATCAGATTACGAATTATGGCCTGGGCAATGTTCACCCACTCTTCCTGCAGTGTTTGCCGCCAACTGTTGGAGGTTTTGTGGCTGTTGCTGACGTAATCGAAGACGTTGATCAAGAGCATAAAGTTCGATGGAGCCTAGGTCTGGAGACCTTGGGGCAATGGTAGTATTAAGATGTTGTGGTTCATTAAAAAGGCCGTTCTAAGTCTTGCCGTTTGAGGTTGGGCTTTGTCGTTTGTTCGTTCGTTCGTGAGTGAGTTAATATGTAGCGTCACATTGGTAATATTTCAGCCATTTTGTCGTGTTGGAAATGACCCCTCCAACTGGTCGTACCGGACGCCTTGAGGGTTTCCCATTGTCTGGGCTGAAATCCATTGCAATCCTAGTACTGCTACATATTGCTATAACTATAGAGGTAACTGTGGCGACAATTACTATGAATCTGTCCTACACGTGATGGACCGGATCTGGGTAGGTCACGTTTATCTGGGTAGATCTGCGTCTGATGACTATATGTCAGTAAAACTACATCAGATAGTCAAAATTGTTCTGCTTATTTTTTTTTGCGTCTCATTTTTCAGAGTATATGGATATCATTGATGTATTTAGAAGTGAGAACGTGGTTCAGGGACTACACATGTTACCCATTAAGTAGCGCAATTCAGCAACAGCTGATACCATTACAGTAGCTATTATGGAAATCGATGTGACACATTGACAGGTTTCTTCACAACACGGTGTCATGGAAGTGTGTCTGATATGAATTACCAGCACATATCAGTGGGACAGTGTTTGTTGAGATCCAGCTTCAGGTTCATCAGCTGCAAACATATCCAATGTATGTATTGTTTGTATGTTAGTGGTTCATTTACGTATTAGTTGTAAATGAAAAATAATATTATGTCTCTCCACTAATACCGTAAAGAGGACTTATTGGGAAAACTGTTAAGTGATGGAAGATTAGAGCCTTAGTTGTGGAAGGTGTATTTAGTATGTGATCTATCTACATGGTTAACTGAGATAATGAGATCTCCGTTTAAGTTCACTTATGATGCGGCACAATGAAATGAACATGAATGAGCAAGTTAAGTTAACCGAATTCAATCAGTGTAATATATTTCATGTTTCTGCTGGATACTGTAATACAAGTAACCATTGATCACGTAGCAGAGCATTGCTTTCCTTGAAAGCAACACCAATCCACCAAAGACTCGGTGAGGAGCATTCTCCTTGATACAGCCGCTTTAGCTATAACCATTGTACTGTCGTCGACATTCTGACGATTACAATCAGTTGAAGATTATTGACGTGTGAGTATAGCTAAGCACAAAAGGCTTAAAGGGTTCTTTAAATTTGAAATTAGTGACATTTTGTTGGACATATTACGGGACACATCACCTGCAACCTTATTTTCCAGCATGGTGTGTCTTAGCATCAGTCCAAAGGTGGCACTGGTTGACGAGAGGATCTCCATCACAGTCAGCAAGCTTCGTCCACTACAGCGAGTGACCATACAGGTATGGGTAGAAGAAGGAAAGGCAGTGTTCAGCTCCTGCGGCCATTTCCGTGCAGACCAACAAGGACAGGTTGATATTGATCAACATGCTTCTCTGGGGGGAACTTACAGAGGTAGGTAAGAGGCGACTAACGGGCTCAGGTGGTCAGACTCGCTGAATTGGTTGACCCATGTCATTGTATCCCAATTTCGTAGATAGCATGCAGTTGATCATTGGATTGTCTTGTCCAGACTCACAGACCGATGTCACATAGCTGGATATTGTGAAGTGCAGCGTTAAACAACAAACATGATCATGTTTCTTGTTCGTGCCCCGGTGATTGAATCAACGACTGTAAATAACTAAAAAAGTCCAGGTCTTTATCAAAACTGGATGTTTCACTTTCGCTTACAATTATCAGAAATAACTATTTATACAGAGTGCCACATATCCCAACCATACATATGAAATCCTTATTGTAAACCTGTAAAGCTAAGGATGTCTGGAATAGTACATAATTCAGTGACGTATACAAGGAGACAAAGAACATTCAGAGTGGTCACTCAAGATTCCAGCGTCTCTTGTGATTGGAAGGATGTTCAAATGCCATTATTTACAGGACACTGACGAAATTTGAAGGTATCTGACCAAACAACAAACTGGCATTGCTTCCACCAAAATCAAGCAAGAAGAACAAAATCACATCTTAGCTGAACTCTAACAATGTTGACAATGCGGTGGTTTGTCTTGCTCAGGCAATATCAGGTTATCAAAATGAAGCTGCAACATTTTAAAACTATGAAGTCATCTTTGTCCTTTTCCCTCTTTCCATACAGGTGTTGACGGCATGGGTCTTTTCTGGAGTCTAAAGCCTGTTCCAGGTATATCTAAAGATCCACTTCTCAGAAAGGTAGATGTTACAACACCTCTGGTTTTCAGACTGTCAGTCATAGATGGCCACATTCTTCGGAAAGACCTCCAGTTGCCCACGACAGTAGTGCTTGTAACAGACACTTTGCAACGCTGGTACAAACACAGTTCTGTAAGGAGGATTGAAGTGCGTGATGGCTCCATCAGAGGGACGTTCTTCTTGCCTGTTGGTAAGACCCATTCGTTCGAACAGTTACGGTATATTTTCGGTCAACAGAAAACTTTAATTGATATCTGACTGAAAGAAACTTCAATATAAACATTTTAGATACTTTGATACCAAGTGGATCAGTAAAAAATATTTTCTGAGATGATGCAAAGTAGTAAAGAAGAGTGAGTGAGTGAATATTGCTTACACAGCATCATCAGTTTGCAACTATTCGCGACGGGAACCAGTAACTATAAATTCCAACATGTGAACATAAAGCACAGTACTAAAATGATTGATCCTGAGGACAATTTAAAATATCAGTCATATTAGTGGGGCGGTTAAGGCCAGGATTTTGTCAAAATTGTGCCAAAAAGCACCAAACCTAGCACACTGATACATCGAACAATTCCAAACATTTCTGTATATATACCTCAGCAATGCCCCCTGGTGGCAGAAAATCCAAGATGGCCGCCAATTTGACTGTAATCTATCACAAATAAGCCAACAAAACTGACAATTGTGCTAAAAGCATATCAATTTAAAAAGACCAAATTCGTTAAAGAATGATAGTATCTTTTGGCTATGGACTTGTAAAAAGGTTCATTTTAGTTTTAAGTCACAGTGGATGTATTTCAGCCATATCGTAACTATGAAAGCTCTATACTCATAAAACTATACTTAAAGATATAAATATCTGTCATCAAAGGACAGTAAAACAACTACAATATAATAGATACAGATTTAGAAATAGCATGTAACTTTACAATAATATCACAATTGAAGACATTACAATTTAAAATAAAGATGAAGTTTGGCAACCATGGTCAATGACCATAGAAGGGACCATGGGCATTTACAGTACACACCACCCCTGTGCTGTCACCTGTACACAGATTAAACCTTCATTTCAAATAACAAATATATAGTAGATATAAACACCTTGAACGATATGGACCTACGTACTCTCTCAGGGTGGCAATACTTTTACGGTACCTCAACGCAGAGTTTGTCAATACACGAATATATAAATACATTCTGAGAACGTAAGTTAATTGCAACTGCTAGCACGGCACAAACTGCTTGTCATTAAATGTTTACAGGTGAAGGGCGATTCCCAGGAGTGCTTGACATGTTCGGTTCAGCGGGAGGTCTGACAGAGTTCCGTGCTGCCTTGTTGGCCTCCAAAGGCTTTGCTTGCTTTGCTCTTGCCTACTTAAGATATGATGACCTACCAAGTTCAATGGCTGACATTGATTTTGATTACTTTCTTGTAAGTTGTTTTACATTAACTATGCATAATAAATGTACCATGAAAGCCAACCCTACCGCCAAATGTCTTATTTATATAGTATGTTCATGGTTTTCAAAATTGTCTATTTCTAAACTCTTAAGGTTCTAAATTAACAAACTGAAACCCTGAAATGTTGAGCTTATTATCGTCGGTCATTAGTCTGAATGGCTTGCCAAATGTCGATTTTGATATCACACGTATATTTTTGCATATCCAGCGAAAAGATGTTGTTGCTTTATCCAGGAACATATTCTGTCTGTAATTTTCCACCAAGAAACTTGAATGATCGTCTGAGTAATTAAACACCATGACGGTTCGCTCGTCACGCCGAAACACGTTTTCGATTCTCTACATTCAGATACAGTATGTAAAGAACGTTTCCAGTGTCCCCATCCGGCGTAGACCACACTCACTGATTCATTAGACATATAAAGTGAAGGAAGATACATTGATGAAATAACATGTTGTGTTCAGGATGCTGTAGACTGGCTGGTGTCTCATCCCAGTGTCTTACCTGGAGGTATTGGAGTGGTCGGTACGTCCAAGGGAGGTGAACTGGCCTTCCTGCTTGGCATGTCAACTAATCAGGTGAGCGGGATTTTACAATCTACAAATGATTTATCAACTAACAGCGCATCGAGGTTTTAGGTAGGAAATATTTAAAGGGTATTTTCCATATTTATATACTAGGCGAGTTCTCTGACGGTTTCATGTGCGCATTCATGTCAATTATTCCAACTATAACAGGGGCATGGACAAACAATTAGTGTATCCAAACATTGTTAACTTACTGTCCATTCATGCAACTATGATTCTGCCTACCTCCAAAGTTGAGGGAGTTTTTGCAGTGATGGTTCATTCAAAATTGCAACAGACCTCTAATGGTTAGCATTAAAGCATATTCAGCTTCGGGTACTGACTTGTCAAAGTTGTTGAAGCTGTGTTTAGTGAAATTGTTAACAAATGTGATAACTTGTGTAAATCGCGGGTTAGGCGGCTGTCTTTTTGCGCTGGCGGCTTTGCCTGACTCTGAGAGTGTGGGTTCGAATTCCGGATGGGACTCCACCCAACAAAAGTACTACAATCTGTAATTTACTATGAAAGTGGTATCCCAAATATAACATATGTTATAAATGTGATACCAGATCAGTTTCTAAAAAACGTTGGGTTTTTTCAAATTATAATGTTAAATTAAAATGAGAGAAACATTATAAATGAACTTGAGAATTAAAACTAGACGACAGTGTTTGACTTCATGTATGTTTTGTTATTTTTGCATTTCCTTTTAGATTATGAAGTGTCCCTATTTACGAAATTACCCTGCCCTTTCTACTTGTAAATCCTAGGGGGAACACTAAGATTTCACCATGTTGGCAATAGGTGAAGGCTCTGGTGAATATTGGTGGTGCTCCGGCATATGGACTTGATGATCTCAAAAAGTGTGGACAACCATTTTGGAAAGGGTTCAAGTGAATATTTACATGTGCTGTTTTCTTATATTCAACGCTGCACTCGTCAAAAATTCGCCTACATTATATAATTGTGGAATTAGATAATCAAAGTCACTGAACCTAACCAACCAATCTGTTTAGTCGCCTCTTCGACGAGCATGCAGATGAGCTGTTTATTTCTCTACTCTATACATATATCTAAATTTATCAGAATACCCAGGTTTAAAGCTACATATTTTTGTACAGCCGCCAAATAATAAACTTGAGGTACATGTACCTCATTTTATATTTCATTACAGGGCAAGCACACATTAACCACGCTATGTTATTATCCTTAAATAACTGTCAGATTTTTCAGAAGCTCGAAATTAAAATATGCAGATTGTGCAGATTCATGTGACATGTACAAACGCCTTTCATTATGATCACTGAGTATTCGCTTCTTGAATTTCAATATGTTTGATGTATCTTGCAATGAACGCGTTAGTACAATTTACTGATTATCTGATTTCAATATTTTTCAGAATGAATGAAAGTAAACTTATACATACAGATGAAGGTGTTTATCTCAAAGACGCTGCTTGCTACGACACTGAAATCATTCCGGTTAGTAGATTTAGTTGCAGTAATTTACACGTTGTTGTGACATTTCCGGGATAGCACTTCAATTTGCGAAATGGCTCATGGTAGTGTTGCACTGAACATGTTGTAGTGTTGTCTATATGTAATCTGCAGGATCTGTATTGAAAACATGGATTGTGTTATTTTTGAATATCTTTTGTTCTGACTTTATCCTGACATCCTTTGCAAGACTCCGTGGGTTCAATAGTCTTTGGTGCCTGGCATCATGATTTCTTTCCATTGCCCCTTGCAGGCCTGGAAAAACAATGCCAAGATCTTATACTTGTGTGGCGAAGATGATGGCGTATGGAGAACTGACTTTGCTAACACGTTTATTGAGACATGTCCTGAAGAGAAGAGGAAGAACATTGAGCTCATCATATATCCTGGAACAGGACATCTCATCGAACCGCCATATATGCCCGTATCAAGGGCAATGTTCCATAAAGTGCTTGGTGAGCATTTACTTCAAGCCGTCTTAAATTATTCGACACGCCTATGTACACTTTATTTTAATGATTTACAATAAGGGAAGCATTCCTGTAGACTGGAAACTGGTTAGTGTATACCAGCAGCCAGAGTGAGTGAGTGAGTTAATATTTATGGCCACATCGGCAATATTTCAGCCATATCGTGACGGGACAATATATCATTATATTATACACCAATATAATTAAAAGTCTGTTCTCGAAGAAAGATAAAACCACTAGTATATACAAATATTAAATTAAAACTGGATGCTATCATAAAACAATATTATTGAATAGAACAATACAACATAAAAATAGGCTATAGGTTGCCAACAGCAGAAGGTAGATCGCCATGCCATGAACACATATGCTACTATTAAAATTCAGAGAAAGAAAAATACTTTCAATGAAAAGGGATTTAGGTACCATCTCAGGGGGACAAACAGCAGCCAGAAAACCGATGTTTTAAATAATGAAAAGAATGAGTCCATGGTATGTTTGCTATACGTATATACATATAGACGTGTACTGTGCGACAGTGTTATGTCAGACTGTTCGATTTACACTGAAACATCGGCCAGTTTCTGCTTATGTATCTCTAAGGGGGTTTCGTTGAAGTAGGTTTGCACACCTGACCACGTAGTTTATGAACTAGAGGAGGACAGAACATCCCGATTAACATACCAATACGCTGCTAAGATTGTTTCACTTCACCAGATGTGTGACCTGTGCGCTGTGAATTAGACCACGTGTCAAGACATAGCAATCCATTCACATTTCTGTTCCACTGTGGCACGACTGAATATCAGTAGCACTAGTTTTGTAGAGAGGTTATTGACTGATTAAAGTGTCATTACACATTTCCATGAGTTTCACTGGGATGTAAAAAAGAGACATAAACTGTTTAACCAGGAAAGAACTAAATCTAATGGCACAATTTGAAACCCTGACCGACATGACACAGATATCGCAATTACGAAATATTATTAGTGCAATGAAAATGCGTGTTAATGTCTCAGCAGTGCCCCATCGGTAAAACATACCAATACTAGTACTTAGTGTACAATCTAATTTTCAGTTTTAGTTTCTGGTAACATTTTTAATGTGTTCTTCATGGAGAAACTTGTACATGTTTGACTCAACAGGCGTGGCCCTTGTGATGGGAGGACAACCTGAAGCTCATGCAGCAGCCCAGGAGGATGCCTGGAAGAGACTTCTCCACTTCCTCCACACACATCTGCCAAAGGAGCATCACAGATTAAGTCGTTTATAGCTTAAATAAACTGCTCTTCAGTCTTAAATGTTTCAGTCCAGCCAGTTTCTCAATAAATGACATTATATAAATGACAATAATTATGAAATATTTACCAATCTGAATTAAGCATCCGCAACGTCAATGTGTAAAGATGAAATACTGTTATGTTGATGTTTTACATGCACTGACAAAATACCTTTTTGAGGTTTGAAAATTAAAACGAATGACGGAATCAAACCTAGACCTTTACAATGACGGATGAATGCTTTAAACCCAAGGTTACCAACAACACCCCATTTAAAGGCAAACACTTTTAAACAGATATCCCATGCTACACGTGAAAGAGCGTTTAACAACTATATCTGAACAGTGATTCAGCAAAAGACAAACAATTTACTGAATAGAACAATGAAACGTACTTAGCTGTTGATTTTGCTTTTCTGAAACCGAACTCGACAGCTCTATTTTTATATACCAGGTTATATTCATTCTACCATGACATAATTAGAACAGAAACACGAACTCTTGCGCAATTGGTTAGAGATATGTCTACAGTCACATATGATATTTTTCACAGCTTCTCAGGTACAATAAAACATAGTGTAATGGGGTCTAAAGGAGCGTCAAGCAGGTCTTTCTGCAACGATTTCCAGGGGTTATTTTAAGCTTACCATCGCACTCAGCAGTATTTATATGACTTCGATATGTAAATGATCCTGCCTTGACAAGACAATCCATAATTGACATTTTGATCGATCTATCGAACTGGGATATGATGGCATGGGTCAACAAATTCAGCAAACCTAACCACCCGATTTTGTTAGTCGCCTCCTACGACAAAAATGGGTCGCTGAATTCTAATCAGGATCTCTAACGGTCTTCAAACAAATAAAATAGAGACGTTAAGGTCAGGGATACAAGATTCAAGTGAAGCTTTTGATATGGTATGGTGTCGAGAATATCCCCAATTTTCACCTCTACCACTCGTGTTTGCGGACTATTTGTTCAGGTAAACATGTAACATACCTGTGTGTGTTTGTGACGGGTGCTGCCATGGAGAATGTTACGCTACGTTTCGTAAACACCTCGTATCATCAATTATTCATTATTATTCATGAACATTTGTTGGTGGTAGTGTTGGAATCCTATTATGGTATATGCTTTTGTGACACATGATAACAAAAGGGATTGAATGGAAGTTGCTATGTTGCATATTTGTTACGATTATGGCAATGTTTTTGTAACATATAATTCTACATGTTCCATAGTCTGGTTCCATGATGAGCAAAAGTAATAATACAAAATATTCGTTTTGAAAAAACAATTATCTCCTGCTTTACTTCTATGATATTTGTCATATTTCCGGGAATGGAATGCACATTGGTATATGATATATATATATTTTCACAATTACAGATGGTTGTCAAGAGCATAAATGGATTAATGGAATGTGATCATAAAACAAACCAGTTTTAATAAAAATGATTTAGGTTTATAGCCAGCTTGCATTTGATTTTTTGCGGATGTAAAATCTCCAGTTCATAAATTTATGAGCAATTTCATAGCCTTCCTACCGTACATAGTGAACGATCTTTGCATACTCTTAATTTGCCGACGTTATGTTTACATTGTTGGGAAGGTATCATACTAGGGCAGTTGTGCGTTTTATCAGCACACAGGGCCACCCATTTTCAACTAAGACATATTTCCGTATTAATCCCCGTGTGGCACTTGTTGATGAAAGAGTCTCCATCAAAGTCAATGATCTTCGTCCACTACAGCGAGTGACTGTACGGACATGCGTGGAAGAAGGAAAGGCTGTCTTCTGCTCATGTGGCCATTTTCAAGCTGACCAACAGGGACAAGTCGATATAGCTGAGCATGCTTCAACTGGGGGAACATACAAGGTAAGTGAAAAACAGATATACATGACTCGAGCTTTGCTGAGACACTTGTAATGGTTGGCCAGTGTCTCAAACCGACTGTTGTATTGTCATGTGAGAGTGTCTCATGATATTTTTCTGTTCATTTTAGTACTTGTCCTCAAAGAATTATTTTTATTTTAAGGTATCTTTACTTTTCTTTTTGTCATGTCACCAATTAGTTTGATACCTGGAAGAAAATGATTTGAGCCTATACATACCCAGCCAATTCGACAAACGCCATCAGTTTGCCATGTGCATCATGACAAAGCCTTAACACAATGAACGTACTCCGTAACGATGGTGCATGTGGGTTTTATACAGGCCATGATAGCATGGGACTCTTCTGGAGTATGAAGCCTGTTCCAGGGATTTCAAAGGATCTACTTCTTAGAAAGGGAGATGTGACGACACCTCTTGTCTTCAGACTGTCTGTAATTGATGGCCACATTCCCCTTGAAGACCCGCAGCTGGCCACACCAGTAGTTCTAGCAACAGAGGAGCTAGAACGATGGTACAAACACGAAGCTGTGAGAAGGACAGTCGTGCGAGAAGGTTCCCTAAGGGGAACTCTCTTCTTGCCTGAAGGTAACTACCATGCCTGCCCAGGTTCGGCAGTGTTAGATTTACCTCAACGTATCAAGAAACCCGTGTTTGAAGTTTCTGCTTGAGTTTAAAGGTGCAATATATCTTGCAGCAAGGCTGAAATTATTTCAAACACGATCTGTCAGCAGGGTTTTCGGCAGAATATACACATGGAGTAACAAGATAAAGTTTGGCTGAATGATAATTACATAAATAACTAATATTAAATGTGTGACTTCTATTTAAGAGAATCTAAACACAATTGGCTAATTTTCATCTCATATCACGTTCTGGTGTGTGGTCCTGTGCATAGAGCTCAGGTCACAAATCAATTGGGCGACGTTGGACGCGAAGAGTTCTTGGATGGGTGACCGTGTTTGGCAGATTGACTTTTGAGAGTTTCTAGGATTTCAGTCCTGACCCACAACGAAGCACATGTGATACATGTGGTCTCACCTTAGGCAAGAGAGCTTGTTCAAACTTGCCTCTGTTCACCCAGCAGAAAATGGTTACCCGGTGGTATAAGTCATGACACTATAGTGAGTGATTGAGGGAACTAAAATTTGAAGTCATATCAGCAGTTTTTAAGCCATATCGTGACTAAATGAGGTTATAAATCTATAGTAGTACAGCGCGGCATTTCGAAGATATCTTCGCGGTTCAAAGCAGCTTAACATTGAAAAATCCCACTTGTTTCATTCTTCAAAGACATTTAAACATTCAAATGTTTTCATGACGAAACTGCTCATAATGAATTGTTTCTTGAATATAAGGGGAAGGTCCGTTTCCCGGGATAATAGACATGTTTGGTTCCACTGGAGGGCTGACGGAGTTCCGTGCAGCTTTGTTGGCGTCCAGAGGTTTCGCTTCCTATGCTCTTCCTTTCTTTGGACATGACGATCTCCCACCGTCATTGGCTGACTTTGACTTTGACTACGTACTGGTATGTTCTTGCACTCTCAGCTAAGATGCATTTGAAAGTACCTGCAGCCTAAAAGCTTCATAGTGAGTGATTTTTATCTGTTTAATCTTTTGTTTCAACGTTTGATTACTACTTTAACGGTTATGATAACTGTTTCAATAATCATCTCATGGCTTTCAAACCCTCAATACAAGCGTGAAATATGCCGATGAGGGATTCCAGCTGTCACATTTGTGTTCATTTGTCTTTCATTCAGGGTGCTGTAGACTGGTTTGCCTGTCATCCAAGTGTACGGCAAGGAGGGATCGGTGTAGTTGGTACCTCTAAGGGAGGTGAACTCGCCTTGCTGCTTGGCATGGCCACAAATAAGGTGAATGTGTCAGGTCCAGACTCGATTATTTACAGCCCACCGTCATATTTCTAGAAGGTTGCTGAGTGCAACGTTACACAACACACAAACACACTTGCCTTTGTTAATCATTTAATAACACAATTGCGTCTTTGGATATTTCCAAAGATTCATACAATTTGACGAAACAACATTAAGAGTGGCAATCCAAAGCAAACTGTGAGTTCTTTATTTGCCACAAGGGACACAACAAATAGGTGAAATTACTTTGGGTAATTCTCCGAAACATATCTCTGACCATTAATATAAAAGGCAAAAGCATGATTAAATTGATCGAGTTTAACCATAATTACAAGCAGTTGTCACTAAGGTGACATAATCCCCCCGCCGCAAATTATCACACTAAAAGTAATGAAAGTGAAGGTCGTAGTTCAAGATAGTTTATGTTAAATTTCAACAAAAAACATAACCAGTCAACCTCTCTTGATATCTTGCTCTATACCTGTTCAAACACACACATATTTTCAAGACTCGCTTTGACCTCGACATGAATGTCATGGTGAAATATGCCGAAAATAGTAATAAAGAAATTGCTTATCAAAAAACATTCAAGAGAAGTCTTGAAAGTCAAAAAAGAAAATCCAGTGAACCGTTCTAGAGATATCTTGCTGAAAATCTCAACATGCTGAAATCTTCAAAATGTCGCACCTTGCCTATATGATGTCAAATATTATGAATATCGAGTGAACAGTTCTTGAGATATCTCGCTGGCAAGGGTAAAACGTTAAAGTCCCCTTGTGACCTTGAAATGAAGGTCAGGGACCTTTCTCATATTGTGATGAACCTAGGTACCAAGTATGATATTCCAATTCGTACGTACGTACGTATGTACATATGGACGGACGGAGCCTATGACTATATCCCCCGCTTCGCGCTAAACGCGCGGCGGGGGACAACAATCGAAGTGTACCATTCAACCAGTCTGAGCATCATATTTCTTGTGAGACCTTGAAGAGGAAATATTTGTTAGTTCACCTGACATTCAGCATCTCACGCGATAGGAATCTTGTCGAAGCATCGGTGCTAGCTTGCACGGTGCTATCTTGCTAGCTACGCACTTATCGGTCAACTTGTGAGGAAGCATCGGTAAAGTGAAAGATCTTCCAAGACCTGAACAACTGAGGAAGATCCGTAACCAAGATGACAGAGCCATCTGCTTTTTATGATCAGGGAGAAGTCAGATATGTGTAGTACTCTTTCTGAGATCAAATTGTGAAAGGGAGAGGCAACGATGTGACATTCACCTTGTCGTAGAGTGTTACCATATCTGCTTGACGTTGCAAACACTTCAGTGATTTATCCCAAAGCACCTGTTTAACCAGTCATTAACGCACTTAATTCAGAACATCCCATGTCATAGTGTTCCCTTAATAGGTGAAGGCTTTGGTGAACATAACTGGTCCTCCCTTCTGTTCATTTGTTGATCTGAAGAAAAGTGGACAGGTATATTGGAAAGGAGTGAAGTAAGTACTTGACACCATTTGTCAAATCCGGACTGTGTAATCTGTATGACAAGTATAGGTGTAATGATTACACAATGCCAGTGGTCAAGTGTAACACATGTTACAGATTCAAGTACTTTTGTTGGTATGAGTCCCACCCGGGATTCGAACGCACACCCTCAGAGTCAGGCACCTAATCACCTAACCCAAAAAATGTTATATATGTACTATTTTTTTATTCTTGCCTTAAAATTAATACTACGTCACATATGTTCTATTCCGTGCTTTTGAGTTTGTTTGTGTTTTATTGTTGTTGTTGTTATTGTTGTTGCTGTTGTTGTTAGTATAACGCATGTATTACATGCAACGGATGGGAAATGATACTGTTTGTATGGGAACTCATATATTACATATTTCCGTTCTTTCAATAAATCTAAAAACGCGTGTTCTTGGTCAATCGGACCACCGATGAATATTTTTGTAATTATATTGACTCATTGGTGACTTATATTATAAATATAAGTGTTGTTAAACAGGATCAGTGACAAACTCATTAAGCCCGAGAGCCACCTCACTACTCAACACCTGGAACCCCTCGCTGATTGCCCACTCGCTGTGCCGAGACTAATTAGTGCTAATCACACCTGATTTCCCTGGCAGGTTTCGGGGATGACAGGAAACTGTCTAGTCGTACAAACAAGTCCTGATTGTTTAATTGTGTCGTAAAGATATATGTTGAAAGAAAGCAGGTGTGAATACATATCGTGTATTGCAAAGTTTTATGTAATTTTATTGCAAGTTTCTCTTGTAGACCTTTGGCGGCTTGTACATTTATATTTTATCACAATATGCATGTATTCTTTGTATGTAAGAGATGAGACACACATAAACAAATTCTCTCTCTCATATCATTGTGTGAGGTTTAATTTTACAAAACATCTATGACAATGACATACTGTAAAGAAGAATTTACTTACATACTTTATAATCTTCGACGAAAATAGCGTTTTGCCGATACATTTCTAGTGTATACGAATTATTTTAATGAAAGTACTATTACGCTAGTCTGTGACTAACATAGAGCACATTCATAGCTTGGCACTTTGTTTCATCTAGATTTAATGCAGAAAACATACGTGACCATACAAACATACATATAAAAAATGTATACTACATATTCCTTGCATAGACATAAAACAAAGAGTCACGTGATAGGGCGTCATCAAATTTCCCGAATAGAACGTTCGGTATCTCAACTGTTCAATATAGTGGCTGGTCATATGTTATCTGTGACCAATCGTATCATGAGATACCTGTCACAGAGGAAAGGACAGGTGATGGGGCGTGGGCGAAATTTCTGAAGAGCACGTTTGGTCACTCAACAGCTTGGATAGAGATTGATTATTGGCTATATCGTTGACCAGTCGATATGCTGGGTTTCGGCTTTATCAACTCAAGCTATCATGTAACAGTTTGTGTATTGTAAACATACACACTGGTAACGATGTATGAAATATACACATAAGACAAATAGGAGTAGATAGACACTTTGGCGAGTTTATTTGTCCTCATTTTAGTGTTTTTCGATAAGTAAAACAAAGCGATTGAAATCCAACCATTGAGTAGAGATAGTATTTATTTTCATATACATTTTACGCACACAACTAGTACATAAAACATAATGGTTTGCTGTACATGTAAATATAATCTTCACCTTGATACGAATGAATATCCAAACTAAAGTACACGTATTACAGAATTCACGAAATGACACTATACTGAATTATTATAGTGTATAAACTTGCAGTTGAACCCCCCCCCCAATATTATTTATGAAGGTGGGCGTGCCTATATTTATACTGAATGCAAACGAGGTTCATAAGATTACAGATGTGCATGCATGCATAAACATTACAGAGAGGGGCGTGACTCCATAAAGCAAGTTGTCCAATGATATAACAGCGCATCTGTTTATTTTACACTTGTCACGGGACAAACCTTTCAACAAGGACGTAACTACATATGCATTCTACCGGAGGCTGTTATTTCAAGGTCGAAAGAGGTGTTCAATTATCTCATTACTGTAATCTGATTGAATGATTATACGCATGTGTATCGATACCGTAACTGATATACTATCCAGCTTTTATTGACGATGGATCAATAGAGACTGAGTTCATTGATACACGTGATAATTACACCGGATTTGATAATTACAGAGATCAAATACAAATGTTTTACACAATGCTCATGTAAATTGCATAGAAAACTGACAATTCAAATCAACATGAAACTTTCAACAGCTTGAACAAAAATGCTTGAAATACCTTTGTATGGTTTACATGTAATAACTTATGATATTACTTCTGTCTATGTGTGAGAATTTTTGAATTACCAACTTACTGTGTTTTGTAACAAACGTAGTAAAAGATTTCATTGTTGTAATAACACTGACATGTATATATATTCGATGCAAAGGCGCGACTTATCACTTTATATTCGATTAGGTAACATTATCAACTTTAGATTATGGAAAATAACTAGTTACAATTCAGTAAGCTTCAAATTAGTAAGTTAAATTATGTCTAATCTATTCGAGCTTGGATGTATAATTATTTGTGTTTATACATTATGTTTCATTATATGAAACATGACAACGTAATAATACCTAAAAAGTAAATTCAAACTATTCTATTGTGTTTGAATTCTTTGTATGTCCTTGAAATTTCGTATATTGTTTCCTATTTATTAGGAAGTTGAAGAAAATATAATCTTCAGTAACCTCTAAACCATTACATCTAATTCAATCAATGTGCATACGAAGTATTTTAGTATCCATTCCCAATGAAGAGTACCAGACACTTACCTCTGTAAAAACATCATAATCCCCTTTCTCGCCGACATGTGTTCATTTGCCAAACGCTGTACAAGCCTATGATAATGATTAGCAATTGCTATCAAAACACTTTAAATACTTCTTCTGATTGACACTAAAGGTAGCATCTCTCGTAAGAAAAGCTAATATTTGCTCAGTACTACTAAATTGGTTGAAATAATAGGTACAGTGCGATTTTTAAAAGTACAACACACATGTGCGTCTCTCGCTGAATAAGAGGTGCTTTCTGTTGACGAATATATGTGGCTCTCGCTGTGAGAAACTGCCAATTACCTGCCCCATAAACACGTCACTCGCTGTGAGGAGCTGATTAATTTGCCCCATATATGCGTCTCTCGGCCTTAATGGTAACAGTACCAAGAGCCACAGCATAAAGACGTTGGCCTTTAATGTAATCCCATGAGTGAAAATATCATGCACTTGTTATACTTGAATTATTTTTGTCAAAAGGAGATAAAGCTCTTCTGAGTTAAGCAAATCTGTTTGATGAACAAACTTTGCTGTCCTTAGCATCATGACCCAAATGTATCTTTTCAGGCATGGAAGAACAATGCCAAGATCCTGTATTTGTGTGGCGATGATGATGGCGTGTGGATGGATACATACGCTGAAAACGTTCATGGAGACCTGTCCTGAAGAGAAACGGAAGAACGTTGAACTTATCATCTATTCAGGAGCAGGTCACCTTATCGAACCACCATACATGCCCTTGTGTAGAGCAAGTTACCATAACAAGCTAGGTGAGCAATTGTAATATGAACTCATTGGACCAACTGTTACACATTTACCTTTGAATGTAATTCAGGGACTTTCGTGGGTTTTCTAACATCAATGCTCAGTTGTTATTTGTTGTTGTGGGATCCGTTACGCTTTCCATAACCATGATAATTCTCTCTTTGGAATTCCAAAAACAATATGATCACGTGTGTGTTTGTTCGTTTGTTTGCTTAACTCAGGAATCAGCAACATTATGACGTCAATGCTATTTTATAAAGAAGAAGTAGTGTTTTGGCTAAGTGTAGATAATTTGGACAGAGTTGGCTTACCCTGTGGCTGTATATGTCCCTGACAGGCATGACGTTGGTGATGGGAGGACAACTGGAAGGTCATGCTGTAGCCCAAAGAAGACGCCTGGAAGAGACTGCTCCAATTCTTCCAGAAACATCTGTAGTAGACACCAAGACAGATAAGCTACTGACATACAGGGATCATGCCTACTGCATGTTCTGAATTCGTTCTTATACAGTTAGCAGAACGATGTGCCATCTCCAAATATATATAGTACCAAATGTTGTGCTGATGAAAGGGGATAATTCTGCCATGCCTGGGCTCATCGGTTTAGTTTCTTCAAACAGCATACATGTACGTCATAGACACCTCAGATTGTTGTTCTGTATGTCGGGAATAACTTGTATCCTTCGTACAATATTATCGGACGAGTCCATACTTATACTAATGATTGTATGTCATTATGTCAATAAATATACCACAGTCTCATGGGCATTATGTTCAATATTCCTGTGGAAAATATGACATATCATATTGTTTTAAATATTTCACTGCCATGGCCGATGATGGATACATGGCACATGTGATGCTGCAAAAAGTAATTATTTACTATAAATGTCTAGAACTCTCATAGTCAGTTCCATTTTATGCACAATGAGCTTTATTTTGAATACGACGATTCATTGAAACCTTGAAATATAAATCTAAGAATAGAGGACGACTTTTTAACTTGTATTCAAATTATTTGGAAAACTTTTAAATGCCTACCCTAGACGAACCTCGAAGTTTTTAATGTGTTGTCAATTTCCAAATTCAAAAAATTACCCTTTAATCTCTAGATCTTTAAGTTAATATATATGTGCACGAATTCAGTATGAAACCAGCAAACAACGAAACTGTTATCATACAATCAACATTCGTATTATAGAATACGTTAGGTTTTCAAATTAATACAAATTACTGGACAGAAAAAAACAGTAGCTGTACATAATAGCGCGGAGGTTCAGTTTTCACTGGAGCACAATTACAATAGCAGTATTAAATGTAATAATACTGGTAACAGCAGTGACGTCTATGGTAATAATATTCACCAAGCTGAAAATCACATCACAGACATGCCTTATTGCATTGCCGATCCCCATTCTCAAAAGATGGTAGAATTTGTCCCATGCAAAAATGACATGATTTAGATGTAAAACGTATAAGCCAATCATACAGAATATTGCTGTGAGCATGATACTTATTGGCAAAATATGTGGTATAATGGAACGACATCGGATCCACCGATGCATCATCGACAATGTAGTCGTGGGTGAAATTAGAGTAGTTTTTCCACTATAATATATAATAATTAGATCACGGTTACAATAAACCCGCCCTACCATACTTGTTCAGTGTCACATACGAATGCAATAATTGTAAAACAGGTAAAATATTGCTTTACATACATCATATGTCACAACCTCAAACACGTATTAAACAAAAAGCTGTAGTTTACCTCCGTTTATTAAACATCCACCATATGCTACAACGTCAAACACATATTTAACAAAAAGCTATAGTTCACTGTCGTTTATTAAACATACACCACATGTCAACCAACTTCGCCTCGTCGTCTCAAATTAGCTGTACGCCATCTGGTCCTCTGTCTATCTGACAAAAGAAAACAGTCCTGCCGCAAGGTGAGTTGGTCATGAATCCCAAATATTCCGCAGCCAACCCCACATAACGATTGTTAATATGAATATACACAGAGGTGGAAATATTACGACGAGACATTTCTGCAAACAGAGTTCATTGTACGATTTCAACAATGTCATGAGCGTGTGTTTATGATTCACTATGGAATAACGATGTTACCCTGTATCACCCTTGATATATGTTACCCTTGATCCATGTTACTCTTGGGCATACCCTGCGCTTCCGTGATATCATTTGCATGAAGAGGCGTTCACGTGCTACAAATGCTGACCAAATACTGCTTTGTACTTTGAAATTAGAAAAATACGACTCAAACGAAACTTGGTTTTTAGTATGACGAGTGAACGCTTTAACCATTAGACTACCCCCCACCGTATCCCTGAAAAAACAAACATCTAAAACTGATATTTCTGCACATTTATGTAAAACGATTTGACATAAATAGAACTATACTGAAAGGCAAAAGAAACGTTATATTGGAGATGACATATAAGCATCAATGGAGTATTTGAACCTATGTTTTTTTTAAAACATACACAGGAAGTCAAGTTTGAGGAAACCATGAATCGTGCTCAGATAGCCTGTTTTGCGCAATAAAGTATAGTTTGAGATAGAGTTTAGAAATGGGTTTGTTTGTGGAAAGGGAAGAGTTCGCACAAAGACAACATTGAAATTGAGATGCACATGCATCATGCATGCATTAAGGCATAAATTGCCGGCTTAAATTGGCAATCGTTCACTTGTTTTCTGAACACAGCAGCTATGACTAGGTTAGAGAGAGGTGTTGATGAACAATATGACGGTCCTGACGACGTATTGTTAGACGGGGTCGACCACAACGTGGACGGCCATCAGTGCTGTTGGTGGCGTATCGCTGTCTAAGACGTTCTATCGTCCGTACGCTGCAGTTGAAGCCATTAGCAATTACTCGAGCACATTGACCAGCGTCTAGACGTCCAATGGCATATTGTCGTTGACTTCTCGCTACATTCACAACCAAGGTGATTCAAGCAGGCAACTGTTGTGATGTCTGAAAGTAATTGTACGTGCTTTCCAGTGATATCGTTCTGAAAGGATTCTATTTCCATACGGATAGTGAAAAATTCCCTGTTATTTGATAGTTCGTGTGTAACCTGGTTGTCCCAGAATCCTTCTACTCTTTTCTCTTGATACATTTGATGGAGCTGGGGGGACAGTGTATCAGTCCATATCTGAGCATCTACAAGATTCGGTAATACTGATCTGCAGTTCCACTCTCCGACCGAACTCTGACTTTGCTTCATCTTTTTGAACACTAAAGTGTCATCCCACGAGCGGCTCTTAGCTGGTAGTCTACATAAATTTACCTAGTATGACGGCTTTTGTTAAGGGTATACCCAATTGAGCTATTATCGCCACAATGTCACAGCAACAAGTGTAGAAGTGAGCACAGCTCACATACCCCCGCTTCCCACTTTGGGACAAGGAAATGACTTATATTGATATATATAATGAGACAAGGATCAGCAGCTCACAAGATTTCTCCTTGACTCTACTAAACTTTATATACATGTTAGATAATAGTTTTGCCATGTACTGATTGCAGTACTAATTTACGGAAACATTATTTTTTTTGTGTTTTCCGTGGAAACCTGAAATACAACTGAACTTGACTGTCTCATGTTGCACACAATAAAGTGGACGTTGGTGAAGATTGCTACTGACTCTCATGTTGCACACAATGAAGTTGACATAGATGAAGAATGCCACTGACTTATGTTGCACACAATAAAGTGGACGTTGGTGAAGTATGTTACTGACTCTCATGTTGCACACATTTAAAATTTAAAATAGCAAAAGGCACATCAATGGGTAATGATTAACATGTGTGTGAAGTTTGGTGAACCTCGTATGTAAATTTTAAGAGATATGCTCCGGATAAAACCATCAAATATAATTGGCACTAAGTCGTGTTTCCATGGAAACAGCAAAATAACAAACTTCTGAAAAAACTTTAAAATAGCAAAAGGCACATCAATGGGTAATGATTACCATGTGTGTGAAGTTTGGTGAACCTCGTATGTAAATTTTAAAAGATATGCTCCGGACAAAACCATCAAATACAATTGGCACTAAGTCGTGTTTCCATGGAAACAGCAAAAAAAACTTCTGAAAAAAATTAAAATAGCAAAAGGCACATCAATGGGTAATGATTAACATGTGTGTGAAGTTTGGTGAACCTAGCATGCAACGGTTAAGAGATATGCTCCGGACAAAACCATCAAACACATTTGGCACTAAGTCGTGTTTCCATGGAAACAGCAAAATAACAAACTTCTGAAAAAACTTTAAAATAGCCAAAGGCACATCAATGGGTAATGATTAACATGTGTGTGAAGTTTGGTGAACCTAGCATGTAAACTTTAAGAGATATGCTCCGGACAAAGTTGCGGGACGGACGGACAGAATGAACGCTATATACCCCCGTTACTTCGTGATGGGGGTATAATTATAGTGTCTTTATTAAAGACACTATTCAGGTTATGCCGTAGGCGACGTAGCTTTTATTGTGGGAAGACGTAGTACCGATGCTCCTTTTGGATCCCCCATAGATACTATGAAATCGTGCTAGACCTTTCTGCGACTAGGTGTGAGGGAGGACTTATCTATGTTCAACTGTCAACCTAATCTATGTAGAGTATGTATCACAATCTCGCGTCCTCACCAGGGGCTGCTAGTAAAATTTAATCTAACACCATGCTCAGTCACTGGTAGAATGACCCGTGAAGAATATTGATCTTCAGTAACGCATGCTTGTCGTAAGAGGCGACGAACGGGATCGCTGACTTGCATTGGTTGACACATATCACAGGTTGCCAATTGTGCAGATCGATGCTCATGCTGTTGATCACTGGATTGTCTGGTCCAGAATCGATTATTTACAGGCCGTCGCCATATAGCTGGCGTAAAACTAACCTCACTCACTCACTGATAGAACAAAGTCGCTGGTTTGAAACTCCTTCCATGCCTCTCGCCGAGCCGTCAATGAAGCGGCCTTAACATCCACACAACTGTGCAGACTGTAAACGTCATCCATGCTTCTGACATTATCTAGTCGGCTGATGCTGAATTACTTGTTGCTGAGAATTGTCTTTGCCAAAGGTCCCCCGGTAGCCAGTGAACCCCGAATTGTTTGCTCTGCCGCCTTGGGAACCGTGAACGCTACGTCCACGTAAACGCGTAAAGATACAGGTGATAACGTTACTGCAGTCTGCATGCTGTCTATAACTGATTGGTTGTATGATGTAGAGTTATCTTGCAATGAGCGAAATATTCTAGCAGTGTCATGGTCAAAATTGTTTTTAACGAAAACGTTTCCCTGTTCTTCTGTTTCCGCCTGTAATACAGCACTTAGTTCTCCTGATACTTCACTCCGGGAGGTGCTCTGGACGCCGTCAAATGACCACAGTACTTTCAAAGCAGTCTCACAATAACGTGCATATCTATTGATTAGAGAAACATTATGTTGTAGTTCAAGCCGATTTGTTTTAGTCTCAGGGACTATCGCAACCTGGCAACTTGTGTTTGCTGTAAGCGTCTCTGACTTGATGATATCTACCTTGTAGCTCGAAGCTGGTACCACAATCATTAGCCTCGGTGGTACTAGCTGTAAGACCGAGTGGAGCTCCCTGGCTCCTATCAGCTGCACTAGCTGTGTCTGCCACCTTGTGTGTCATTCGGTATATCAATGTCACTTAGTTTGCCTTCAATGTTGTCTTTAAACCAGGTA